TCTAGAGGACCTGTGCTGATGATAAGGATAGATAATTTATGAGTCTGATTTTTAGCTCTGGAAAATTGGTTCTAAAAATAAATATTTAGCCTTTCACATGTCCTGCCTTGAGGGCTTTCATGGTGTTAAACCGTGTCCAGTCCTTGCACAGCTCTTCTTGGTGAGAGGAGCTAGGGAAAACTCTATCGAGTACCACTTTCTATCCCTTTCATTCCAGTGGATGGTCAGGAATTCCAGTCTCCATGCTCCATAAAGCAAGGGATTACACATTGTTTTACATTGATGGCTTCTTGGACCTAAAGATCCACCTTCAAAAAGAGACAATGCTTGGGAGGAAGGGTGGGCCGAAATGTGGCTGTGCCCTAGTCTTCCTGGAGCAGCTAGCACCAATCCAATGGTCACAACAGGCAGCACATCCAACGATCCTAATCCTACGGTGGTCCCAGGACTGCCCTTGAAGTAATGCCTCTAAGAAAGTCACCTGTGCTTTTCTAGTGTGTTTGGCCGGTGGATGGACTACTTAAGATGAGCCTCTTTTCACATAGGTATTTATATAGGAAATGCTGGGTTTTTTTGCTTCTCATATTATGAAATTGATGGAAGGCTTGGTTGAACCATGCTGTCTAACTCTATAGTGGTATGTAATTATGTCCACAAGGCACCAGTGCCGCAGTCACTTTCAAAATATTTACTTTTTGGGGGTATCGTCATCTGGAAGAGAGCACGTGGTCTTGACAAAACCTTCTCTGCAAGCAGTGAATCACAAGGCAATGAGCCACAGGGAAGGCTAATCTGAAAACTCAAGGTGTGCAAAAAAGAAGGCGCTAATGTTTATCTCCCTGCCATAGGAACGGTGCCCGTAATAGCCATCTGTGGAAAATGGAGATATTCCAGCTTGTGGAAGGCAACACAACAGCACTCTGGTGAATTAATCACATGCTGTTGGAGGCCTTCACCTCACACGCGGGATGCATTTCATGTCTCTGAGATATTCTATGCCGAAAGCTGTGTTCTGAGATACTGTGGGCTTCTTTCTGTGCACAGCAGTCATGAACCTTTCTCATTTATTTTTTAATCACAGGGGAGGATTATTTTCAGAACAACAGGGCCTGAAATTTGAATGTGTGCAGGTTTTAAACGAGCTGATGTTTCTGAAGTCTTTTATGCTCTCTGATATTAGGAGATTAGTTTGAGACAAGATCTTTCAATCCTCATAAAGGTTTAATGTTATTTTGTAGCTAAGCTGTTAATAATTGGCTACGGATTTTATAGATATACGTACATGGTTTCCACTGAGGTTTTAATCTAAAGAGTGATTTCTCATACCCTTCAGATCCCAGTCCAGATGTTCAAGTCCTATTTCCCTACATTCCAACAGATGGATGCCAAAAATATAGGGAAATTTACAGTGTTTCTTGGTGTAGTATATATAATATAATGTATTATTGAGCTAGGAGGTAGAAGAGCAAAGACTATTGCCCCAATTTCTTCAGCTATTTTCCACACTAGCAACAGAAAGTACTTAATTCTTAAGCTCTAATGGTGAAAGTTCTCCAAGGGAGCATTATTTTTCCTCTCCCAGGCCAGCTATAATGCAGCTAACTAACATTAAGTCCCTCCTGATTAATTTAATGGTAGCTAAATAGTGCAGTAATAGTGAGAAGCCACCAATTCTTCTCCAAATAACACTGCCTTCCTGATGTCTGTGGTAATCAGCAGCATGCTGTCCAACATAAAAAAATCTCTAAATTAAAAAAGCTTTTCAATTTTCCTTTCTGACTAATAATTTTCTGGGTTTTTCCCCGCCCCCCCCAAATCCAGTAATTTCAGTGTTAGACTTTCAGAACTGCCTATTATATGCATATCTGAAAAACAATATGAACTAAAGAATGGTAATAGGACATGAATGTATAGACAGATCTAGAAAAGACATTTTGGCTTAAAGAAGAGCCAAGAAATGTATGATATTTGCAATATGTAAGATAACACTAACTGTAGTGATACTATTAATACTATGTGCATGCTTTTGTGGATCAGGGTGTCCAACTCAAAATGTTGTAATATCAGACTGAATCTTTAATTTCCTTAAATCTGAAAAATGTCTGTAAATATTTTGCACCAGAAACCATAATTTTGAATTTCCTGGCCTTTGAGCTTGTTATATATCATGTGTCTCTTCACCCACATGAAATGCAGAGGAATTTTTGTTTATTTCTTTAAAAAATGATAAGCAAAACAACCACAGTTCTAATATTAGCAGTTTAAGTTTTCAGGTTCTCTCTGCACCATCTCCAATTTGTCTATATCTGAACAAACTGAAAAATTAGAGATGATGCAAAGAAAAGCAACAAAAATGGTACAGAGGTTTAGAAAACATGACCTGGGAGGAAATACTGAGAGGACTGAATTTATTTAATTTAGAGAAGGTGGAAAAAAGATATGCTAAGAGGTTGCAAGTACAAAGACAGTAGGCTGGCTAATTGCTCTTCATGTCAAATAAGGATACAAAAAACCTGTTATGGGCTATTTTGTGTCATGGAATATGTGGAAAAACTTTCTATCAACAAGCTGATATAGATGAGAAGTCCCTCTTACTGGAGATTTTTATAAATGGAGTACAGAAGTGTCTTTCAGGGCTATTCTGTTTTTTGCTTCTGAGGAGAGCTGGATTAAGAGACTGCTGAGAAGACCCACCCCTACAGTTCTGTGATTTCCCAATCACTCTGTCCGCAGTCCAAGGAAGACATTATTTAATCTCTACATATTCTTTCACCAGGATGTCTATTAGCTAGCCTTTCTATTTCCTCTTAGGAGCAGAAAAATACTCCTTTTCTCTGAAGTGACAAGTGTTTTTGTTCCTGTCAAAGCTCATTTCTGAATGTGTGTTGGGGAAAAAAAAAAGCCTAAAAAGGATGACGCTTTCTAATTTTACTCACTCTCTGCTATAATATTTATTGTTTTAAAATAAAATGCCTTTGGTATTGTAGAAAAAATAGGAAGAGGATATTTGCTTGTCAGCCACAAACCACTTATGTTTTACAAATGCTTTTGAATTAAGTTTTGCAGTACAGCACTGAAACAAGTATAGTTGCACCCTTTTTCAGGATGTCAAGTGCATAGCTGAAGTGATTGGGGTCAGCGTGGAGATAAAATATTAGAGAGAGTCCGGAGAGTCCAGCTTGCAAGTCCTCTATTCTAATCACCAACCATATTCCTGTAAAATATAAAGTGTATTTTTTTTTTTTTTTTTTTTTTTTTAGATTTGAGAAGCAGACACTGGCCTTTAAAATCCTTACAGCTACTAAGAGTGGGTTTTTTTGTATCACGTATGATGGAAAAAGTCAAGCCCTCATCTGCACAGTAAATGTTAGCAGCTGGGTTAATTGTGAGGATATAGGGCATCTTTCAAGCTTTATAAGACAGCTATGCTCTTGGAGATACTGTGTTCAAAATGCTCTGATGCTACCTCTTTGAAAGCAGCCTTTGGCTGTACAGTGCTACTATTTAACAGGTTTAACATTACTAAAAATTGAGAGACTGATGCTATTATTAAATTTCATTCTGCACACAAGCAAACAGTTTATCATAGTCTGTTCCCAGCAATTGTAATCCAATTTTTGTTATCTTACATTGTTTTAAAAAGAGAAAGATACTGTACATCAATCTGATAAAAATATTTAAATAACTGGTGCTTTTTTGTGATTATGTCAGTTTTATAGCAGAATTATGGAAACACGACAGGGTAACTAAAATCTGATTACGTCTAAGTCCTTGCCCATTATATGATTATTATGAACCATGACTTCTACTGGCACAATATGAATTACATGGTCATAATACAAGGGATTTCCAATATAATTAACTGAGATTAGCAGCACTAGAGAAATCTGGGAATAATGATACAACTTTGAACAATCAGTTTTACTGTAAATGCTGCTAGCTCTGGCTTCCAGGAAACAGGAGGCTGGTGGATGTAACCGTGACCTACCTGCTGGGGTTTCCTACGCCTCCTTTCTCTTGCCTCCCTCCCTCCCCCTGAAATTAATTGCAACCTTGCCAGAGTGTTAGGAACTCCCTCGTTTACTCTTTTCTTCTCATATTATACTGATAAAACTCAAGGCTGGCTAAGATTTTCAAAAATGTCAAAGGTCTTCAGATACCTCCTTTTGGGGAGGCTCAGCCTGAAACAGGAGAGGGCTCTGCTTTTGAAAAACCAGAAATAACTACTTATTGAAGAACAGATCTGTTTAAGACAGCTCAAGTTTGAGCACTTAAAGGCAGAAAGTCATGAAAATCACAGATTAGTTTCAAAGATCATAGCCAAGGTCATATTTCTTTAGTATCTCAGGCAGGCAAGAAGTCTTTCTTTCCACAAAAAGCCAGGATGGACTCTTAGCTGCTGAAGAGAAATCCATATGTGTCCAGAGGGGTTTGCTTACTACTGGACCTGCCCTTTCTCATGCAGAAAGAAAAGGATTTCTACACAGATCCAGTGGCCATCTTCTGGCTTTAGAGAAAAAAGGGAAATAGTGTGAATGATGGAAATGCTGTAGGGGAAAAAAGAGACTAAACTAGACTTTTTGTTTAATCAAAGGTTTAAACATTCCACCCAGTAGTTCATGGACAGCTGGAGTACAGTGGGAACTCCCCTGATTATTGAGATATCATTTGTCCCTAATAGAGCTGCAATTAAAAAGGAGCATTTTTTTTCACTCTGTGGGACTTAAATTTCCTCCATACATAAATACAGTTGAAGACAGAGAAAAAATACAAAATCACCTGAGATTTTTTGATTCAGTCCAGTGCCCCCTTCCTCCTATGATTTATTTATAGCTCTTAATTTTCAGATTTCACATGAAATTGCATCTCAGGATTTTTATTAAACTATACACACCCCAGGTTTGTGCTCCTTGTTCACTTTGATATTATTACACCCAGTCAGTACAATGACAACCTTTCATTTATTTTGCTATGGTGATCGTACTTCTTTAACCCCATACCTCCAGTGCCATAGAGAACTGCTCCGCTGCTGCTGCGTGGTTGTTCTGCCTGTAGTAAGTCCTGGCTTTCTGGAGGGTCATCTGAAGCTGTTTGTTAATTTGGGGCAAAGTGCTGCCATTAGGTACACTCGGAGCATCTGCTTTTTCAGAACCATCACACTCTGATGGTGTGCTTGTAGACACCATGGGCTCAGCAAACTCGAAGGAGATGTCCTCCTCATCTGTGTAGACCAACTCCATTTCTACGTCCATTAGACTTTGCAGAGGTATATGAGACAGAGATGTCGGGTTTAACTGATTGTTAGTCTCTAACACTGTTTCTTCTTTTTTTGCAGATAGTTCTTCATTGTTTTCTGATTTCTGTTTACAGCTTGCTCTGTCTGCATCATTACTTTGTTTGTCCTTCTTTTTCTTTGCCGTTTTTATTCTCCCCATTGTATTTTCTGCTGCTCTATCCCTAAGGTGGTTTTTGACCACTTGCAGTGCTTCTGGAATATCATTCAATTTGTTTGCTGCTACATTTGACTCCTTACTACGACGCATTTTCTGAGAGGTTCTATTCCTGCCATCCATGCTTATGAGATTTTTTTGGAAGTCAGTGTTGCTTTCTGATGCTTTAACTTGAGCAAAGAAAGAATCCTAGGAGAAAATATAGAAAAGTTAAGAATACTTAAATGTTGCAAAGCCAAAATAAAGCAAAGTCTCCACTAGACATATTGTAGGCAGTATTATGGGAGAAACAGTCTTCAATAGTTAGTACACATAATATCAGGACTCGTTGCAATTACTTTCTCTTTCCTGTGTAAAAGTTTAAGGCCCCTTAAATATTTCTGATAGCTCTTGATAATGGAAGTTTGTTTATGTAAAGTAATGTCACTGTACCAGTTTGTTATATCTGCAACAAGAAGGTAAAATCCGGCTTTTATTCAAAACAACCAAAACCCTGTGACTGATTGACTCACATTGTATGTTGTTATGGGGTGCAAAAAAATCACTGTGGCCTGATTTTTGAGAGCTGGTTAGCACAGTGGCTGAGGTCAGAGAGGGGTGTTCAAAAATCAGGCAGAGTGGATGTGTTCCAGAAGGGCACGAGCTCCAAGTGGGGTTCCAGCTTCAGCTGCGTTTGAGCAAAGTTCAGATCTGGATTTGCGTTTCAAAGCCATTTCTTATTGAACTGTCTAGAAAAGACACTGGAGTGTTGCTGCTAAGAAGCAACTCTCCCCTAGTAGTTAACAGCCTAATTCTCAGTTCAGGGAACTGGCAGTGGATTCAAATGGGTACAAGGTGCAGAGTCAAGTTCATAAAGCTCTTCTCAACACCAGTTCCTGTACAATAGGAAAGGTGACTTGATCTGCATTGTAGACTCATAATTGTGCTCAGATTCAAAGGAAATTTTCATCTGCCTCTGCTGACTGCAGAGTGAAAAGGTAGAAGGCACAGGTAATTCTCTTCTCAGTTTTTCCATCAATTATGGAAAGTTTAATTGTAAACAGCTTTAATGATCATCTTTCAGAATGGTTTGTTAAGCATAAGTGCTCGGCCTTTAACCTTTTGTTATTGTTCAACAGACCTCCATACGTTTAGCACCAGTTTAATGTACTTAACTACAGGAACAGATTGTAGAAAGAAAAGGCCCATAATAAATGCATTTCTGTTCAGCCAGAAACAGATTTTAAACAATAAGCAACTTGTTGAGTTTAGTGAGGGCCCTACAGTATGTACGACTGCACTGTTAAAAGCTGCCGGAATGTGTCCTGGATGCTGTGGGACAGTGAAACTTTACTGCTTATGGCAATGGGCAGAAATTCATAGAAAGGGGTATAGGGAAGAGGTGAAAGCATTTAGGCCATATGAGAAGTTAATACTGACTTTTAGTGTAAATAGGGTTTCAAATCTTTGTCATGTATTTCTCCCCTTGCCTGGATAAACCAGATTGCATCCAGGACTATCACCAGCCATAAAGAAGGGAACTTCTTGATTTTGACATTTGTTCACAATCTCCAGGCTGAAAACTTTACTGTAGCAGAACTGCCTGTGGAGAAACTCATTCCTCTTTCCACGACTGCAAGAGAAGGAGTGAGAGGTGAGGGGATAATTGTGTGATTTAAGGTAATTTCAGCAGACTTTTTTCAGCAATGTGCTGAGCAATCACAACTCCTACTGAGTTCAGTGAGGATGGAAAATGACTGGCCCTTCCCAGATAGTGCTCTACACTTGTCAGAATAGAGCTCAAAGGAATCATATTTATAGCAAGCTATTTTGAATGGCAGCAGTAAAGCAGCTGGAAAAGGCTAATGTACTTGCATCTGGCAGCAATTTTACCTGTTTGTAAGACATTCAATCCCTTTTTAAAACAAACCATAGCATAGCCTAAAGATTGGAAGCTGCATTTTTCAGTGCTGGCTTCAGCACTAGGTAATTTAGGAAATTATGATTTATCTTCACTGTGCAGTAGAGCAGAGATACTCCAGCCAGCCCCAGCATCAGCTGAGAGGATGAGCCTGATGATCTTGGTGCCATGTCATGCCAACATAACTGTCACATATGGAACCAGTGATGGAGTTCTATGTGGCCCTGCAGTATATGGCTATACCATGTTCTGGAGGGGAAACATAGGATTTTCACGGCCTCTTGGCTGGGCTGTTCACTGAAGGTCCAATAGAACTCTAAAAAATGAGATTTAAGTGTCTACATCAGGAACAAATTTGCAGGAATTTTCATCTGAGTGGCCATATTGAACTGAGAAGCCCTCAAGGAAAGTGAGTGGACTCTTCTCCTCACCAGAAAGCTAACAAAGACAAAGCTATATATGATGGGGGTTTGATATCAGTGTGATTGGGAAATTGGCTGAACCAAACTGTTTGTCATGAGGCTGTCTTAAGAATTCTAAAATAATTTACTTTGGAATAAAAAAAAACAAAACAAAACAAAACAACAAAGCACAAACTGTGAAATACAGGCCAATAATTCTTTAATCACTTACAGACATTTCTCTGGTGGACCAGTACCTGAAATGACCTTTGCTGTATCAAGCGGATTTATACTGCTCCTATTGTATTTTTAGGTATTCAAGCTGATTAACATGACTTTGGGTTGTTCAATGGAGGCACGTTATAACTCAGGCAGGCTCACTTTAATCACTGCCTCAATAAAAAAAACACTTCCAGAGAAAAAGCTTTTAGAAAATCATTATCTTTGTCAGTTAAGTATTTTTCTGAGACTTTGGTTAAAATGTCTGTTTTTTATTTTGGAAGCGTTTATCATAAAATGCTTCTAATGAATCACTATACAGGGGAATATAGATAGACAATTTAGTGCTATAGTCTGAAGGAAACTAAATTTCTGAGCTCTCAGGAATGATCTTCTTGATCAGTCATAAGCAAGTTCAGCTTTCTGAGTATTTGAGGGTTGATCTTCAGTAAGATATGTCTGTCCATGGCACTACCAGCTACTCCAGCTAAGTATTTTGCTGTATCTATCAGTAAGGAAACCACATCTCTTCAACTGGTTAGGCTTACATGAAAAAAAAACCATAAATGCAAAAGGAACATAAGATCATTTATCTTTTAAAATCTTCTGGGTTTGTCTGTTGATTTCCCAATATATCTAAGAAAGCCTTCTTGGGGAGAGTGGTCTGCCTACTAGATAATGTAAACTTCCTTATGTTCATAATCTTATGAACCCTATTACTTATGCTTTTTGTTCTGTGTCTAGTTTGATTCTGCTTTCAACACCTTCTCCTATTATCTCACATCAGATTAGAGAAGAACCTGCTGATAAATCACACTGGCACTTCAGCTGGCACCTCATTGTTAAATTCTTTGCCAGTTCTTTGATGAGCCCTTTTTTCTTCAGAATTTAAACTTCGATTTCAACCAAAAAAGCTTTTGCCCTTACAGTTATGAAGTAAAACCTTTCTAAACACCAAAGACTGCAGTGTTATCTTCCTGAATCTGCATATAGCAAGGCCAAACCACTGTTGCACGTTCAGCACTGATTTAAGTGGAGGGACAGGAGAGAGAAATTTCTTCTAGTAGTTCTCAGAGGGGATTAAGCCGCCTGGAAACTGGACCATTAGGTTGCTGTTGCCAGCTCTTTGGGGCATGAATTCTGTGGGGCTACACTTCACAAAAAGATAAACATTTCAGTAAAATCTTTCAGCAGACAGCACAAGTTTCTGTTTCTGAGGGTCACGGTTGATTTTTATGGCAGAGGCTGTAGAGGCACAAGCAAATTCAAGGAGATATTTCAGCCCAGAGAGATCTCTGAACAATAAATTACAGAGTCCTGGTGACTGAACGGCAGAGCACAGCTTCAGATAAGGAGCAAATAGTGATCCAGCTTACTGACTCCCCTGTGTTGGCCTGGTAGATCATAGTTTTGCATGGTTTGGAGGTCTAGGGGAATGGTACGGCAGCTAGGAAGCAGAAAGGGGACTCCACGGTTACGTTTCTTACTCTGAAGCAGATTCCTTATATTGCCCATTTGACAGAAGTCCAAGCAGACCCATGTTCTGACATTGGACATGCCCCATAAATGCCTTGCTAAAACTCAGAGACAAATTAAGTATCAGATCTAGAGACAGCAATAGTTCTCCCTCCCTCCCCCCCGCCCTGATCAGAACTGGCAGAGATTTCTGTTGTCACTGTTTTGTTTTATTTTCACTTCCTCTGCAGCATAAGGTACAAGCTGCCTCATTCAGGATGGTCTGGCTGTACCTCATCTGCTGTCCCAGAAGCTCTAGTCATTAGTGGTCCATCTGTATTTTGTGCTCTCTGCTGTGAATGCTCAATGCTGCATGGCTTCTAGAGGATAGCATCACAACATTTTTCAGCCAGAGCATGACTGTATCTGCAACACACGTGCGTTTGGTGCAAAGGTGCCCCATCTGTCTTTCCGTGAGCTCACTTGTGTACCGGTAACCATATAGTTGTGTTAGCCTGATACCTCACCCAAGCTAACTCACCCTGCTTGAAGATACATATAATGACAACTGCCATATTAATATACTACTTAGACAGTGATGGAACTTTTCCAGAAAGTTATGGAAACTGAACTCTTTCATCTATAATAGTCTTTCTCTCCCAGAAGGCCATTTGAAATCACAGGGCAGTCATCTGCTACAGTTCATTTCAGTGCAAATGTTTCAACAGGCAAAACTGCATCCAAAACTATGGAGCAAGTATAAGAAAATTATACCACTGGTACTTGTACAAGTGTTATCCCACTTCTTCAATGTCCTCTAGTAGAGACAGAGAAATATAGTACTATAACAAAACACATCCAAAGCCCCACAACAGAAAGGTCATTAGCTGCCCTCCTCTATAATAATTTTACTTATATTGAATTCCAGATATCCTGATCCATCTCTAAGGTGAGGATGTTCCAGTTTTATCACTTAAAAATGAAGCAAGATTTATCTGTATTAGATTTACAGACAGGCTTTCTGAATGAGCATGTGCACTGACAACAGCTATGCTGAGATCTGAACTGGAGATTTTTCCAGTCCATCTTTCAGCAGGATGACTTTTTAAGCACTTCCTTTACTGCTGAATACCACAAAGGCTCAGACAATCTATTGATGACGAAGGTCAGCACCTTCTTAGCAGCCCATAAAGTGAGTCTCTCACAATCAGGTT